AGACATGACTGGTAAATACAGCCAAATCAACAGCCTAAAACTCTAATCAGACATGACTGGTAAATACAGCCAAATCAACAGCCTAAAACTCTAATCAGACATGACTGGTAAATACAACTAAATCAACAGCCTTAAACTCTAATCAGACATGACTGGTAAATACAGCCAAATCAATAACCTAAAACTCTAATCAGGCATGACTGGTAAATACAGCCAAATCAACAGCCTAAAACTCTAATCAGACATGACTGGTAAATACAGCCAAATCAACAGCCTTAAACTCTAATCAGACATGACTGGTAAATACAGTCAAATCAACAGCCTTAAACTCTAATCAGACATGACTAGTAAATACAGCCAAATCAACAGCAAAAGATCATATTTGGACCCCACAATGAAAGAAACATGTCAAAGCAAAATCTAACCACAAAATTTAACCAGAATAAACTAAATTCAACTAAATTTATTTCAAACCTGACTAAATATTGACAAGGAAGTGTATTTTTCTTTCTTTTTTAATTTTTTGTTTAAATTTTATGGATATCACATTACTTTTACATTTCTATTTATGGATCAGAAGGTAAATTAAATTGGAAGTTAAATAGCTGAGACATGTCAGCTGAATCACGAAATAATTCCTTTGTTAGATATGCACATACCAATACATTGATGAAATAATATCCAAACTAAAAGCCATAGAACTATAAAATGAAATGAAATGAATGGAGTTTTACGTCCTACTTTTCTGTACCATGTGGTCTAACGAAGACGGGCAACGCCATGCATCTTCAGAGTGTCAAGTTTTTTACGAACCTTGTACTTATTCCTTGACTTCAATAGCCACTATTCTTGTATCTCAGAATGCAGTGATTTGATTGGATTGTAGCCTGAGAATACAGCCAATCAGAGTTATCGACAGAAAGGCTGTAAACATGATGGATTTGTGTTCACAACCTTTCTGTCCAGGCCTTTAATTGGTTGTATTCGCTAGCATAAACTTCAGTTAGGGTTTATTGACGGCCCTCTTGAACATTCATCGATTTGATGATACCGCCAGCCACTCAAAATTCATTTCTTGTCCATTGCTGGGCAATGCTGGGATTTTGTGACATGAAACAAAATATGTATTTCGAGAAGCATTAGACATCTATTGTTCATGTCACAAAATCAAGACCAGAAATTTGAGTGGCTGGCAGTATCATCAAACAGATGAACGGTCAAGAATGGCACCTTTAGACACTAAACGAAGCGGCAAAATTAAAAACAAAAGCATATAGAAAATAGAACGAAAGTTTAGTCTAATTTCTATCTAACTGAGCACAGATTCAACAATACTGTAAAACACCTCCTTCGTCAACGTACTCCAGTAACACAATTTCCTTACAATATTAGTCAGTAAATCCAACAGTAAAACTAAGAATTCTCAGTAAAGACAGAGAAATATAGAAATTTAAATCTATGACATAGTAGATATATAAAGTTGGCCAGGTGTGTTTGACAGATAATAATTCTATCACTATTGATTATTCAATCTCTCCTTTCATTTAACTTATTTACTCTTTAATTATTTCAATCAAATGTATAGTGTTTAACATCCCACTCTTAAATAGGTTATTGAAATGAGACAGGTTTTCTACAAAATATAAACCTTTGTCCTAACTTTCTACTCATTGTGGAGCTTTGTGCCCTGGCTTTCTCAACCTTTCTTATAAGCATAATTTTCTACATCTTATGAAACAAAATGAATTTGTGTGTCATACTTCTTGGGCAATGGATGCAAATCGGAGGGGCTGACATGGAAAAAGCTTCTTGTCATTTGAATTGAACAATAAATCGAGAACCCGGGGTGCTACAGGGCTGTGTGTCTTCAAGATCCCTAAACAGAAAAAGAGTAGGATAATTCAGCAAAATTTCCCTCCTTGCACACTGAAGTTGTCCTTCTTCATTAGCCCAATCATATGCAGAAAAGTAGGATGTAAAATTTGATTTTATTATGGTGGTTCTCTCCGGGTATATCTTAGCGCTTAGATGTCCTAGAAACAGTGTTAGAAGATAAGACCCTAGGACATCCTAGAAACAGTGTTAGAAGTTAAGACCCTAGAATATCCAAGGGTCTTAACTTCTTACACCATTTCTAAGATATCCTAGGGTCTTAACCTTTAACACTGCTTCTAGGATATCTAGGGTGTTAACTTTTAACACTGTTTCTAGGATATCTAGGGTCTTAACTTTTAACACTGTTTCTAGGATATCCTAGGAACTTAACTTCTAACATTGTTTTTCGGATATCCTAGGGTCTTAACTTCTAACAATTTTTCTAAGATATCCTAGGATCTTAACTTTTCACACTATTTCTAGGATATCCTAGGGTCTTGACTTTTAACACTGTTTTTACGACGTCCTAGCGGGAACATCGATTCGAGAATACCTGGCCAGGGATTTAGAGCAATAAAAAGCTGAACTTACCTGTATCCGTGTTTTAAGTTGTAAAAGCTCACTGTTTGATTTCTGAGTTTCATTGCCATCTTCACCAGACTGAAACAGATCAGATACATTTTATATTTTTATATAATACCAGCGATAAAATATCTATTACATTTATATATCTTACAATAAAACTTGACTTTATCTACAAGCACATCTGGATATAAAGCCAACCAGACATTGGAGAATTGCCTAATAATTACTAAGGTTGGTCAGTTTGGGGGATAAGAGACATGTCATACATTTCTATATTTTATATAAAACTTGACTCCATATTCCATACACAATAACAATACAAATCAAAAGAATTCCAGAAACCAAAAACCTTGTATGAAGCAGGACAACTATTACAGACTCCTCAAATGATTAGTACCAGTATGTTCATGATGATATTCATTACACATAAGTAAACATGAAGGAAAGTCATTTTGACTGAAGATATAGTCTGTAAGTAGTAAACCCAAACATAAGAAAAAAATCAAAGATATTAAGTTAGAATCACGAAGAACCTGTTTTCAAGATAGTTCTTGGCCAAACTCCTTTGAAAGAGACAACCATTTTGACAATGATAACTTAGATTCAAGATAATTCCTTGGTCAAACCTCTTGGCATTGATCTTTCACAGATTATCCATACCCAGATATATGGTTACATACCCAGAAAAGGACTTATTCAAGGTCTTCTAGACTTTCACATGATGACCAATATTACAATCCATGACCACCATTTGTTTCAAGTAACAAAGCAAAGGCCATCAAATTTTGACACTCTAACCAACAGGAAGAAAATTCGAAAACATCCACAGAGATAATTTTATGTAAATTCAAAGAATTAATAATAACATGATTAATGTACATTAAACTGTCCATATTAACATCTTTTTAAAGCCATACACGGTCTGACAAAAAATGACCTAATGATAGCATCTATAAACTTACAAATTTGTACATCAATCCAACTTGGTTGAAATAAGATAAATATCACATTTTAGTGGTCAAATTACAAGTTTAAATCTGTTTGATGGAGAAGAAAGAACACTTGTGATGTGTTGACAATAGTAGAGCCACTTCACCTCCCCTACTCTGTCAACCCCGACTGTCTGTCCCTACACAGTCTGTCCCTAGCCAGTCTACCAGCTACATGGTTATTTAATAGGGTAACTAGACTCTTTTCAGCTGACAGGGTTTGTTAGTTTATTTTACATGTAATAACTTATACAAATAATTCTCCTGTTCGTCTTTATGACTGAATTTAGAATATTTGTAAATCAAGATTAGGATAGAGTTTGTAATTCCCAGATTTTCATCCACATATTCTGAAACTTTGAAAGATTTTTTGAATAGTACAATGACTGAGACAAATATTTCTCCTTTAACTGATTTTAGAATATTTATATAGACTAGTCTTAAGATAGTACAAGAAGTACCATCAGGTGGTTCAAAATAGTAAGCATGGTCTGCTTCATGTGACACTCACCACTACTACATAGATCAAAATCATCAATTACAATCAGATCAACATGATCAACTTAACAAATCTACCGAAGTACAAATGCAAATCTATTATACTTGTCAAGATCCTCTATAACATCAAAATTGGTCAATTCAAGATTCAAGGCTTTTACTCAGTCAATACAGTCTAGAGCTCTAGTCAGACATGACTGGCAAATATACTACTACTCCATAATCCTTCAAAACAACATTCAATCAAAGAGCAACCTAAGACATGTTCAAACTTGATCTTTTCTTTTCTATCAATTTCAAAGATGGTGTATTTAAAATCAAGCCAAGACAAATTCTTGAAAAAAAAATGTTTTATTGAAATATAATTTTGTGTCAGATATTCTATCATAATATATAACATAAGTGTAAGACAGTATCAGATATCAAGTTGTTGACCTCTATCTATACCTTAAAACTTAAAGATATACTACCTCTTAGGATGACCAGAAAATTAAAATTTTTAAACTTGGTTAAAATGAGTCTTTGTTCATCAGTGGATTTACCTGGTGTCATAATCGCACAAAAGAATCTCTCTATCATCAAATAAATCCATAAAACTAAGTAGTAATTCATTAAAATAAGTAATAATTCATTAAACTAAGTATATTTGAAACATGCTTATTTCAATAATTATTTAGTTTAATTGATATATTGTGTTATAAAGAGATTATATTCTTTTGTCATGGCACCAGGTAAGTCCAACTGATGAATATATACACTTGTTAACCAAGTTTGAGACTTTAATTTTATGTCCATTCTAAGAGGTAGAATACTTTTAACTATCTATAAGCATGTCAAAGGATAATCTTCTATGGCAACAAATTTGCTATATTGATACACAACAAAGTCCCAAATCATGTTAAAACACATTTTGAGGTTACACAAAACAAAAAGTTTCGAAATATCAAATTTTTTCAAGCTTTAATTCAAATGAAAAAGCTTCAAGACATATCACAATGTAGTGACAACAATTGTTATGGATATAGACTTTCTCAAATGGTATCACAATGTACTTCATGCCAAAAACTGGTACCTTGAATCAAATACAATTGACTTATTACAATACGGTACCTAAAATTAACAATTAATTTCATATTACAATATTACAAGCCTAATACATGTAGCACATAATAAAAAATCTCCACCTCTCGGCAATCTGACAATTTTTTACGGTCCCAGTGTATGTCAGATTACACAGAGTATACTGTACTTGTAATCAAATAAAGATTGACTAATACAGTACCTAAAACGACCAATTAAAAAAAACCCAATAATTAGTATACTTGATAAGTCACGATAACAAACTCAATTGAATATAAACTTGACAAAATATAAAATATAATACCTACATGACTTTATGTTGAAATATGTTGAATTAATGTTGAAATAGTCTTCAGTATGAATTGAAATAACGCACAGTCTTCAAGCACTTAGTCTCATAGCTTGAATCTTTCATATTTGAATATTGATATAAAGGGCTAGGTCGCTAAATAAACTAAAATGTCCAACTGATAAAACTACTAAATCAGAAATGCATTCTGTCTCTACATAGCAACCAAAGTGTCGTCGAGATAAGAGCCTCGCTTGTCGACTTATCTCAATGTAAATGCCTTTATTATTAATGCCCTCTATAAACCGACGCTCAATTTTCTGATAAAATTTGAAATCGTACCAGTACGAGACCAATCTATATTTATCCTAATCTATCGCAGATTAAACATAATTTCAACATATCTTGTCCACCATAGAAACTTCATATCACAATGTATTGAAGTTAAAAGGTTAACATAGAGAAAGGTTATTTAAGGGTTAGACGAACACGTTTTAACCCCTAATACCCTAACAGAGTCACCTTGAATTTATTTGTATTTAGTATAGGAATCAATAAAATATGTAACATAGGAGGGTTAATTGGCCGGTTTAATTACAATTAATATAACGAATCAACATCAGCCATGTTTCATTTCCCTCACAGGTTCTAAAACAAACAGCCAGGCCCTCAAACCCTTCAGTGACCTTCATTGATATCCAAAGGTTATAACCTTATTTCCTATCAGAAGAATTGATCCTTTAGAGGCAATACAAAATCAACTTTCATATTTTTGGTAAGGCCTGTATAGACGTGTGAGACCTTCGAAAACTTATCTTAAGATGATCTAAGTGATGCAGTCATCTGATTGGTCAATCTCTTTAAACCAATTTTAAATTTTGCTTTTATTATCCAATCAGATAACTGTATTTCTAAATATCTGTATTTCGAGGAAAATCATAAAGAGTTTAAATATTACACAACTTGCACTGGAGAAAAGTTATAGGTTATTATATCACAAAACTGACATTAAATCTTGACAATTATGTAATTTGTAAACAAGAATCAAATTTCCTCCTGACAAAAAAAACTGACAAAAATATAAACTGGCTAAAAAATCTGAGTTCACCATAATCTTACCTTGAATTCAAATATTCAAAAAGTCCCAGCTTTTAAACTTCAAAATTATAGACTTGACTAATACAGCGTAAAACGATCCATTATAACATTCTGCACACAGAAAAATACTAGTGTTTCTAGTAATGTTCTCTGTTGCTTTTAGAAGCCATGTTTGATTGATATAAATAGTTGGAAGTAATGTTAATTTTTGAGACTAGTATTTTGAGAACTGGGGTCTTATTCTTGCAATTTATACTGAAAATGAAAATGAATGGAGTTTTATGTCCTACTTTTCTGCACCAGCAATTTATACTAAAATCAGTGGCCCAGTGTCGGGTGGGGGAGGACCCTCTTAGACACTTTTGAGAGGTTTTGTCAAGATGCCACCTTAGAGTCTCGACATTCTGGCAAATCTGCCCCCTATTTGTACCCCCAAACAAAAGAGACTAACTCAAAGGAAATCCAGATTTGAAGAAATTAAGTACATTATTCTGATAAATTTAAATTTCAAATCGATTCGATTGATTAGATGATTTGAGATGTTCAGAATAAACATTGTACATTTCATTATTTACAGTTGCACATAATAATTTATATTTGCCTTCGTGTCAAGATTCCTTCAACAGGTTAGCTTAGCTCAAGATTATGAGGATGAATTATCTGGCAAAAAAGATCAATGCCTTCACTAGGTCAGCTCAAGATTATCTGGGAAAGATCAATGCCAAGATTTTTGGTTCAGAACCAACTGATAGTAAATCCAATAAGTCAGCTTTACTCAAGATTATCTGGGAAAGATCATTGCCTAATGACTAACAGATAGAAAGTATCTTTAAAAACCTGAATTGTTATTTTAACAAAATAAAATTGCCTTATTCCTTCCTTGCACAAATTTCTAAAAACTGAATTATTCAAATGCATTGGATCAGATAATGAAAAATAAAAAATTTGTCAGATTAATTCTTTTGATAAATTCTATATGGTTGAGGTCCTTTGAATTTGAATCAGCTTGTTTCTAAGAACCAATGTATAGATTAAATATCATGTATTCAAATTGTTATGATATCACATTTGACTGTAACTAGAACATTTTATAAAGAGTAAGCTGTTTAGTCACGTAGACAAACCAACTCAACGATGACATTCACAATAGCATACAATACTATAATGATTAACCTGCTAGCAGATTGTGATACAATACCACTGAGCCACCATTTATCTTGAATATAGTATCTCGGACTATAGTGATTAACCTGCTAGCAGATTGTGATACAATACCACTGAGCCACCATTTATCTTGAATATAGTATCTCGGACTATAGTGATTAACCTGCTAGCAGATTGTGATACAATACCACTGAGCCACCATTTATCTTGAATATAGTATCTCGGACTATAGTGATTAACCTGCTAGCAGATTGTGATACAATACCACTGAGCCACCATTTATCTTGAATATAGTATCTCGGACTATAGTGATTAACCTGCTAGCAGATTGTGATACAATACCACTGAGCCACCATTAATATTGAATATAGTATCTCGGACTATAGTGATTAACCTGCTAGCAGATTGTGACACAATACCGCTTAACCACCATTAATCTTGAATATAGTATCTCGTACTATGGTAATTAACCTGCTAGCAGATTGTGATACAATACCACTTAACCACCATTAATCTTGAATATAGTATCTCGTATTAAGGTGATTAACCTGCTAGCAGATTGTGATACAATACCACTGAGCCACCATTAATCTTGAATATAGTATCTCGTATTAAGGTGATTAACCTGCTAGCAGATTGTGATACAATACCACTGAACCACCATTAATCTTGAATATAGTATCTCGTATTATGGTGATTTACCTGCTAGCAGATTGTGATACAATACGACTGAGTCACCATTAATCTTGAATATAGTATCTCGTATTATGGTGATTTACCTGCTAGCAGATTGTGATACAATACCACTTAACCACCATTTATCTCATGTGATAAAGCTTATTTTGCGATTAGTGAAGTCATCAAACACTTATTTTCAGTGGAATTGCAGCAACCACGGAAGTCTGATTAAAAATTTGAATAGCGAAAATGGATGCTACCAGTGTCCCGATACACATACAAAATTTAGAAAACTTTTTACAATCCCTTTAAATATAGAATTTTGTAGACTGTTGTATTTAACTCCCTAGCAGAACACCATTTATCTTGAATATAGACCTAATATCTTCCTCGACCTCAGTAAGAGGCTAAGATAGTCATTGCAATGTCAAACCTTGCACAGTTTATAAGTTAAAACCTAACATGTATGGCTCTCAAACTTGTTTTTCCCTACAACGAGGTATTTTCGGCAAATCTCTTAGCACATGACTCAAACACATAAAATTCATCCATCACAATCCTCTACACTTCCCCCCTTTCTACCAAGGATAACCCTTCACCGCAAAAAAAAATTCTCAACTCACCAGTTGTCCAGCAACAGATTTCCAGTGTTGACTCTCTGACTGTAGTTGAAGTAGTTGTTGTCTGAGTCTGTTGACCTCGTGTTGTAAACTGATGGTATCGCCAATATCTGTATCATCATTATAATTACTCAAACCTGAAATATACATATCACAATATATTAATAGCCATGTGGACTCCCTGCAGTGGCAGCAACAACCTCCTGGAACTGGTGGGAAACCTGTAGGGGATAAGATTCTACTTATAGAAGTTTCTTCCCTCATGAAAATTTATGAAAGTAGAATTGATTTGGTGCTTTCTGACACATATTTGGCGGCAAAAACGTATATATAGATCATATTTGAAATTGCTTAGAAATATAGTGAGGTACAATTGGATGTAAACACTCCTGTTCCCTGTACCCCTATTGGTGCTGCCACCAAAAGAAACCCATAGTCATACTATTAGCTATGTGGGTGAACTCTTTAACTGGGACACAGTGTTAACAACCCCAAAAATACTAGTAATCAAATAGTACATTGATATCATAAACTATTTGCTACTCATCTCACTGAGAAACCCAGTCATAAGAGGTTCTAGAGGGTTAACATACAAATATCCTGGTTTAACAGGATGTCATGTACAAATAATCAGATATCTTATGTTATTCAAAAACCAGGTTTTAATTAAAATCTGTACAGGAAAGACAATTCTATCAATCAAAAGTCTTGTCCGAAGTATGGCTAAATCGACAGTGAAAGTTGTATAGTAGTGGACTCTGAATAGAAGTAACATCAGAGGGAAATTGGAGAGGTTGTGAGCCCTACATTTTGGACATATTAAATGATCACCTATGTCAGAAATTCAGTCTGACCAAATTCACTTATTAGACAGAGAATATTAATAATGACTGAAACAATCAAATATACAAATGACAGTAATATATTCTAGAAAACATCATTACTGAACATCATTACTGAACATCATTACTAAACATCATTACTAAACATCATTACTAAACATCATTACTAAACATATTACTGAAAAGAAAAGAAATGTCACTTCTGCAATTACTGAAAAAACTTAACAGACACTGCCAGATTCATATTCTGTGGTCAACAGACACATTTTTGTAGCTTAAAATCCATTAAACCATGGCCTCTCCATGTCTTAACTTACATGCATTTGAAAATGAAACAATATATATGATAGATCCACATCGTTCTATTGACTTCGAGTATATATTTACCTTAATAGAACTGTTAGCCAACTACTAAATCCAATTCAAGAGCACATTTCTCATTCTAAATCACCTTCCCAAGTGAAACAAATTACTTCCTCAACACGTGTAAGAAATGCAATTTAAAATTTGAATTGAGGTGAATTCATAGAAATATGATTACATCCTTGTAAAAGCTGATAATAACCTGAATGAGTCAGAAGATATTGATAGGGTTGTGACTATTGTTAAGGTCTTTATTTCAAATGCAAATCCTGAATAAACCTTTTATAGAATTATATGAATATTATCTAGTATCTTTTACACATTACACAGTATGTTTTATGGTGTGAGCCATTTTAAATAGAATTGAAGGTGCTCTTTACAGGATTGTGAAGCTAAAATTTGTATGTGTATCTGGGACACTCATAGCATCAATTTGCACCATTCTAATTTTTGATCAGATCTCTGTGATTTCTTAAATTCATAATAACTAGTCAGGAAAATGAAGTCATTCTAATTTGCCCTAACTGTACTTACCAGTGATAAAACACTCATGGTAAAAATCATGACCTTCATACGTCAATGAACAATAAAATAACTCATACAATTCAACTTAAAAATAGCAATGAAAGTCTGAAAATACATTGCATCCATCAAAATATAACTGTAGGTACATATTGACACTATAAAATTTGGTTAACAGAGGACAATATTCAGTCAAAATGGGGGACAGTTTCTATTCCTTGTTAAGTTTGTGCACACAACGGTCTTGGCCAGCAATTTTTGCCACCCAGCTGCGGGCATAACTGAAGAGACAATAAAATTCTCCAGTGGCCATTTTCCACTTTGTCAATAATCGTGAAGCCTCACAAAGATCCACGCCACCCTGAAAGCTATTCACCAACATACAATGTTACAGAATCTAATAAAAATTCACTTACAATCTCAATTTCCTGGAAAAAATTCATTCAGTTTCATGAACAAAAACTTCAAGGCCTCACCTGATTTACATGTAGAATCAACTCTATTCAACAGTCACAAGAGGAAATTGAACGAACATAGAAATAAAAGGAGAAATAATAGCTGTGTGACCTAGTCTACACAGGGACAAATCAGGTATTGGTACAACAGTCCCATTTTATAATAAAAACTGTATCAATTACACAATACACTAGTTTTGAATTGCTCTGGTTACAGTCAATAGACTTGATGTGAAATGAATTACAATGGACGAGGATAGACTTTGCCCCGCCCCCTACAGTTTCTCGGTCGATCTACAGTTTAAAAATATGATACAGGTACATTCAGTCTGTTATACCTTTATAATCTATTTCCTGCGTCAGATCAAAGGGCAGTCATTTGAGAGAGTTTAAATTTTTGGGGAAAAACTCAAATTTATTCTAAACTTTTGGCTTCTGATTGGCCTAATTGAAGACTTGCAATGCCATGCACTGTACAGTGAGAGAAATTTTGTAAAGTCATTTACATTAATCTCCATTTCTCTAAAAATTACAAACCTTATATGATATTATCAAAATCACAAGAAACTTCATCTTGCCTGTCTGACCTGCATCAATTACAGAGGAAAAACAGGTTGAAATGTTTAGAATCTTAAAACAAAACTGAACACCCAGACTTGCAAGTTAGCATCTAACTCAATAAGCAGGAAATAACCTCCAGCCATTTATATTTAAATTTATTGAAATTGAAAGTAGTTGATTCATACTTTCATATCTTTTCATAAGACTATCATGATATATTCTGGAAGGGCCAAGGACAATAACTCTGACTGTCTCCAAGACTCATCATCAATGTCTATTCATATATATCTGGAGTATAACATGTATAAAAAATACTATATCCAATTAGGATACTGAACTTTATCAAACAGTGTTGATATCTCTCAAAAGATAAGGTTGAAGTTTGTACCACCTCTCTTACATGGATTATAAGGGATTATATCTGATCCCTTACGAAATGTTTTGGGAGCCGCGGTGAGTTAAACGCTGGCTCGCTTACCAGTTTCCCCCTCTCATTGATTCAGGTAAAAGGGCTGACATGGAAAAAGCGTCAAGTCATTCGGATGGGACAATAAACCGAGGCCCTGTATGCTACAGGCTGTGCACGTTAATGATCCCTTGACAGTTAGAAATTGAAAAAGAGCAGGCTAATGCCCCTGTCCTGACAAAATTTCCCTCATTGCACCCTGCATGGCACTGCCCATCTTCAATAGCCCACATGGTGCAGAAAAGTAGAACGTAAAACTCCATTCATTTCATTTCATTTACTAAATGTTTGTATATGCAACTTATTATTGATTAAAGGATAAAACACAATCAACATTATTGTTTAAATTTAGTAATGGACATCATTGACTCAGTAGAGTAGAGCTGTTTTCAAGCGAGTAGGGCGTGTTAAATCACTTGCGCAATTTTATGGTCAGCGAAATTTTCTTGTTTGTATAGATTTTTAATAATATTATTAATGAGGAAGATATATGTATATATTATTTATAATAATTGTTAGAAGAAGTATAACTATATATCTTATGCTTCTGTACCTATACCTAATTCTATATATCTTACAAACAGTATATATAATATTGATATACAAGATTGTCTCAGAGATCATTTTCTAACTAATTAACTCATAAAGCTAAGGTAAATACTACAAGGTATTAGCTATAATAATTATATATAATAAATACTATAGCAGGTGTCTGTAGTGAGGCGTGGCATATTCGCCCTTCTGTAACACCTCAACACTTAAAATTTAATTTCAAATGAAAAATTAACAAGTAGATTTAAATTTCAAATTAAATTCTAAAACGCTTATCATTCTAGCAAAATAAAATATCATAAAACAAAAAGCATAAAAATAAATGAAATTAAATTTAGCTTAAAAAAGTAAAATAAATTAAGAAAGCCACGCTACCTGCGGTCTAGTCTCTCTATCGAATCAACTATATAATGTTGAAAGATAAGATTAGGCTCAAGTGGTGGATGGACTTTGAACCCTGATAAGATATAAAAAAAGCGGGGATATTGTGGAGGGGTGAGATACGAGGGCTGATATGATTGGAAGAAAATTCTCTGCACCAATCGTCCGTGGGTAAATTTGAATATAGCATACATGATGTATTATGAAGATTTTCGATATATGTCAACAGCTTTTGATTATTCACTAAGTCAATATCGTTGATGTTTACACAATTCTCCTTTAAAAGCTTTATTATAATAGAAAGGTGGGGTCAATTTCTATGCTAGATGTCTATTCAAATCTTTCTCTTGCCTTTTTATTAAGTTTTAAGGCAGGAAACAAGTAATAAATACATGTAAAAGTTATAATGACCAAGCTGATGTTCATATTAAATCTTTCTTTATTATCTAATACTACTCATTTTCAGAGAAAAAAGTATCATAATAATATAATAAAAATTTAAATCATAAATATAAATGAATTTTCCTATCAACAAATGATTTTGGAACAATATCATGATAATGAACCTTATGGCAATATAATTGTGATGAATTTACCTAGAGACCATGGACTATGTTAAATTTACCAAGTGACCATATAACTGTGGTGAATTTACGTAGAGACCATGTGACTGTGGTGATTACCTAGAGACCATGGACTATGTTAAATTTACCTAGAGACCATGTAACTATGGTGAATTTACCTAGAGACCATATAACTGTGGTGAATTTACCTAGAGACCATGGACTATGTTAAATTTACCAAGTGACCATATAACTGTGGTGAATTTACATAGAGACCATGTGACTGTGGTGAATTTACCTAGAGACCATGTGACTATGGTGAATTTACCTAGAGACCATGTGACTGTGGTGAATTTACCTAGAGACCATGTGACTGTGGTGAATTTACCTAGAGACCATGTGACTGTGGTGAAGTTACCAAGTGACCATATAACTGTGGTGAATTTACATAGAGACCATATAACTGTGGTGAATTTACATAGAGACCATGTGACTGTGGTGAATTTACCTAGAGACCATGTGACTGTGGTGAATTTACCTAGAGACCATGTGACTGTGGTGAAGTTACCAAGTGACCATATAACTGTGGTGAATTTACATAGAGACCATGTGACTGTGGTGAATTTACCTAGAGACCATGTGACTGTGGTGAATTTACCTAGAGACCATGTGACTATGTTAAATTTACCTAGAGACCATGTAACTATGGTGAATTTACCTAGAGACCATATAACTGTGGTGAATTTACCTAGAGACCATGTGACTGTGGTGAATTTACCTAGAGACCATGTAACTGTGGTGAATTTACCTAGAGACCATGTGACTGTGGTGAATTTACCTAGAGACCATGTAACTGTGGTGAATTTACCTAGTGACCATATAACTGTGGTGAATTTACCTAGAGACCATGTGACTGTGGTGAATTTACCTAGAGACCATATAATTGTGATGAATTTACCTAGTGACCATATAACTGTGGTGAATTTACCTAGAGACCATGTGACTGTGGTGAATTTACCTAGTGACCATATAACTGTGGTGAATTTACCTAGAGACCATATAACTGTGGTGAATTTACCTAGAGACCATGTGACTGTGGTGAATTTACCTAGTGACCATGTAACTGTGGTGAATTTACCTAGAGACCATGTGACTGTGGTGAATTTACCTAGTGACCATGTAACTGTGGTGAATTTACCTAGAGACCATATAACTGTGGTGAATTTACCTAGAGACCATGTGACTGTGGTAAATTTACCTAGTGACCATGTAACTGTGGTGAATTTACCTAGAGACCATGTGACTGTGGTGAATTTACCTAGAGACCATGTAACTGTGGTGAATTTACCTAGAGACCATGTGACTGTGGTGAATTTACCTAGTGACCATATAACTGTGGTGAATTTACCTAGAGACCATATAACTGTGGTGAATTTACCTAGAGACCATGTGACTGTGGTGAATTTACCTAGTGACCATGTAACTGTGGTGAATTTACCTAGAGACCATGTGACTGTGGTGAATTTACCTAGAGACCATGTGACTATGGTGAATTTACCTAGAGACCATGTGACTATGGTGAATTTACCTAGAGACCATGTGACTGTGGTGAATTTACCTAGAGACCATATAACTGTGGTGAATTTACCTAGAGACCATGTGACTGTGACCAATTTACCTTGTGACTATGATATTTCTAATAGCAAGTTGCAAAATGATGCACTAACTGACTTCTCGAAACCATTAAACCTCTTTGCAATTCAGGGGGGCATGGTACCATTCGATGTATTCTTCCCCCACCATGACTGGTGCCTTCAATATCTGCAAGGGGGTGCCGCGGCCATCAGATGCCTGATACTTAACTTACTGCAGGTAGTAAGACTACTATTGTACTCTGTCTGTGTGTCCAGTCTGTGAATATTGATGTATAATATGGTATATAAGTATATATAATACATATTAAACATATTATTAGTATTGAATTACTCTCCTATTTAAATACTATATATATAATACTTGATCTTAATATAACACATCATTATTCATCAGATTACTGTAGCCCTGAATATTTCTTTCAATTAAAGAAAATCTAACAAAATCTAATCTTCAAAATATTCAGTATTCAAATCTTTTTTCAGTACCATTTCCCAAATCCCAAAATCGATCAAAAATAGTCTGACTTGCAAAAAAGTAAATGAACAGTCCTGAGACAGTGAGAAATTTGATCAAAGTTAAGACTGATATATTATAGCTAGGACATATCAAGATAATACAAGTTTAAATTTATATCACTAATCTTCAACTTATCATACAAGTCAATACTTGAAGTGTTCATACATCCGTTGAGGGGCCAGTTTATGTTAGGGGAGGGAATCTATTGAGGGGTCAGTTTATGTTAGGGGAAGGGGGCTATTGAGGGGTCAGTTTATGTTAGGGGAAGGGGTATATTGAGGGGATTGTTTATGTTAGGGATAGGGGTTAGTCTAGAGACAGGTTCATGTTAGGGGTTAGTTGAGGGGCCAGGGTTAGTTTAGGGGACAAGTTTATGTTAAGGGAAGGGGTTTATTGAAGAGCTAATTTATGCAATGGATGGGAGTCTGTTAGGTATAGGATCAGTTTAGGGGTCAGTGGTATGTTGCTCTATGGGACAGGTTATGACACACATGTTTACATCAGAAACGTGCATGGGTTATAGGAAAAAATTTCATCTCACATAATACAAAGCAAATTACTTCAATGTTACTAGCCACATACAACAAGCCACAAGGTAAGTTACTTCAACATTACTAGCCACATACAACAAGCCACAAAGTAAGTTACTTCAACAATACTAGCCACATACAACAAGCCAAAAAGCAAGTTACTTCAACATTACTAGCCACATACAACAAGCCACAAAGTAAGTTACTTCAACATTACTAGCCACATACAACAAGCCAAAAAGCAAGTTACTTCAACATTACCAGCCATGTACAACAAGCCAAAACACAACAATTTTAAAGTTACATGTTAAACAGTGTGAAGAAATATACTATTTCATCAAGTTATCCCCCTCAAAATTATTACCCGCATTCCTTGCAAAATTTCCCTCATTGCACGGAAGATGCCATACAAATCCATTTTCCTTTTACCATTTATTAGCTGTTGAACTAAATTTGTAATAATTTTGAGGTTTGCTTGCTGAATATTGTATTGTATTGTATTTGTAGAATTACTAGTATTAATATTTGTAGACATATTGAATGATATATGATAGTCACCATCTGGTGAGAGACAATATAATTCACATCAATATAACTACAGGTAATATACAGGTTGTACAATCAATGAATATATCCTTACTTTAAAGCAGGGAGTTTAGCATAAAATTTTTGGATAGTTATAATGTAACTTGTTCTATTAAGTCTATATTCTTTAACTTGTAAAAGATTGCATGGAAAATATTCGAGAAAATCACGAAATAGTAAAAAGATTTATAGGAGGAGAGGGCTAATGTAATCGAATAAGAATCCTGAACAGGGTAATTACTAGAAAAAGGTTGAAAAACCCTGCTTTGAAGAATGATAGGCCTCCACTTGTTTTAGAAACAATAATGTCATTTGAAGATTCAGTTGAAATATTATAGCCTTTTTAAAAATTTGACATATTTAGTCAAGGTAGAAATTCAAAATGGCTGTGTGTTATTTCCATGTAAGAACCATACGTAATTTCATATGTATCAAATATACAACCTTACAACATCACAAATATATAACTATATTTCTGGAGGAGTAGATGAGTAAAAGACCAACTTACCAGTAATAGAAGAATATAATGAAGGTGTAGAGGCACTGTGAGATAATGGTATATTCTGATCACTCAGCGCTGACTTAGCCTGATATTCCAATAACTCATGCTGTTTCTTCTTTAACTCCTTATTTTCTTTCTGGAATGCAAAAAATCAATCAAAATTAAAGAAATTGTAAAAAAGTTTTACTGATAGCACACTAATAGAATCAAAGTTGTACAGTAGTGGATCCCTCCAAAGAGAAGTACCATCAGGTGTTTCGAAAAGAGTAAGCATAGTCTGCTTTGCGCGACACCCGCCACTACTATATAGATCGTATGTTGCCAATGGTTAAGTCTACCTACCTCTTTCTCTTCTAGTAATATTCTATATTCTCGAGATATACTGTTAATCTGTAGTTCAGACGCTTCGGCTTTCTCTTCTAGCTCTATTACTAATTTACCTAGTCTTTCATTCTGAAATAATTACACAGAATATTTCTGATCTAAATCTAATTTACCCAGTTTATAATAGTATATAATTTTTTTGTAAACAATACTTTATTTCGTATAGAAAGAGGATTGGAGAACAGGCAGATCCTCTCAGTTTATATAAAATGCTATGCTTAATCCTAGTATGTCCTTGATAGGAAATACTATAAAATATATTCAGGAAACATCATGTAATGTAAGTAGTATTGAAACTATCCAATCCAGATTTACATTGTGTTTACATTTATGTGTTTAATTATATCTTTGATTGACCATAACAAAAGTGTTGGGGTTCAACAAAAATGTCTGAAACTGTGTGTAAGTGTGATTTGATAAGATTTTATTATAGCTGTGAAGACCAAGTGTATAAATAAATTACCTACCTCCTTTTTAATGGCGTTATTCAGATTGTCAGCTGATTGGATTTTCTCATTGGCTAGCTGTAACTCTGTAGAGTGATCTGAAATAGAAGATGGCTCAGTGAATATGGATGCTATGGATAACTTAAATTGAGCTCTTTCAGCTGGGAGGAAACTATTTTGACTAAATGCCTTTTATAGTTTATTAAATTAGATCTAATACAATCTATTCATAAAACAATATTTTCAATATAACATCATATTGACTGTCCCTTTAACAACCAATCTCAATTTACACGGTAATAATATTCACACATCCTAAATACACCATTGGTTCTGTCCCTTTAACCACAAGCTATATCTATAAGATAAGGTTGAAGGAGAGACTATCCCTTTAACCACCAAGCTATATCTATCAGATAAGGTTGAAGGAGGGACTGTCCCTTTAACCACCAAGCTATATCTATCAGATAAGGTTGAGGGAGGGACTGTCCCTTTAATCACCAAGCTAAATCTATCAGATAAGGTTGAAAGAGGGACTGTCCCTTTAACTACCAAGCTATATCTAGAAGATAAGGTTGAAGGAGGGACTGTCCCTTTAACCAGTATAAGATAAGGTTGAAGGAGGGTATGTGTTCCCATGGTGATCAAACTATGTTATAAATCACTGATAAACTACTTCAATCTACCTTTTATTTCTACTGACACCAGTAAATTATTGTCCTCATATCCTGGTCTCTCAGGACAGACTCTTATATCATTATCTAGGTATTCAAAGTTTTACATCTGCAACTTATGGGCTAACTAGTTCATTAGCACGGTCCGTTAGAGCGTTTTTGGTTCTTAACATAACGTCATTTGCTTGGTTATGTTGAGCATATGGTGGCTGCGGGTTCCAATCTCGATCGGATGGTTCAAGTCTGATGAACTTGAATAAGTTTTGGGGGCACTGATAAGATCAATATGCACTATTCCAATTTTCAATCAGACATCTGTGGTTCTTGCCATTCCACTAAAACTAAGTGTTTGATGACGTCATTAATTGCAAAAATACATTTTCTCACATAAAGCCCTTTGAGATTAGAGATCAAAAACTTAAAAGTTTAGTGGAATCTTAAAATTGGAATGATGCAAATTGATGCCATCAGTGTCCCAGATACACATACAAAATTTAGATCAATTCTTGACAATCCCTTAAAGTATATTTGATTGGCCTAGGACATTGAGAAATTTACCTGAATAATTCATAATGTATGGTTTTAAATTACCTTATATCTATTGAATCTTACACTATACACATCCTGTTTGTGGTCTATTCAGGGTAGAAAACTCATGCTCATTGAATTTTAATACTGATATGATCATTCATATTTTCAATCAAAAGGGTCAAGTCAGCTAATTCCTTTCTTTAAAATGTGCTGCACGTTTTATTTTCTCCAAAATTGTTCTCTTTTTGAAAATTCGATTTGAAGCTTGGCCCATCCTTAAAACTGAAAAAATGCTTACTCATTTAAATTCTATTAATGGAAAATGTCTTTATGACATATCAGACCCTCTTATCAAATTTACAAAGTCAAAGAAAAGTCAGAAGTTGGCGTACGTCATAAATTCTTTTGTAAGTCACCATAAAAAGGTTTTAGCTAACCAGAATAACTAAGATAACCACCCTTCAATTTTTTAAACTACTAGGATGTACAATCTTACGCCCATTTATCAATTTAAAGAGCCTCCACATTCTTATTTACTATTCTATATGCTTAAACACAAATTTTTTTTACAGATTCATTCTAAAGGTGGAAAGAGAGGTACAGATGTACAGTGGATTAACAATACAGTACAAACGAATCATGTCTGCACCGTGTCCGGACTCATATGTCGTGTGTTCACTTTTGGCACCATACACCACACCACTTCTTCTTACAGCTTAATATATCTTGAGAAACACTGACCTTATTTGACCTGATTAAAATCACTGGGGACTTATCAAGTTTTATATCAAAATTAAAATAAATATGTTTTCATCATTTCTTAGATCTATATTTGATATCTCACGATAATTTCAATTCAAGTGTTAATAACCTAACACTGACTCAATAGTTGTTTTCAACAAATTTCTACCATTTTTAGTCTAATAGCAGATAATCCTAGTAGTGAACATTCATGTTGTCATATAATTTGCAAGCTGTCCAATCAACAATGTGGCCAATACAGTTTGTTTTGTACAATGAGCACACACTTAACTTCTGAATACCATATGAGTATAGGAAACCCTCAAGATATTTATTGATATTTTGGTTAAATGAGCCATGATCCTATCTATTTTTTGATAATGGGTGTGGTTTGGGCATGATCTAAGGCTAAGGCCTGTATAAATTCATCTTATGTGTATTTCTAATATAAGCTTATCCTGCTGAGTGAGTGAGATTCATTGCAAATAAATGAAGGGAAATAACTTTCAATTAAAGATATCAGACCACAAAGAACTACCGGAAGATCAACTATTTTCTACTTGATAACTACTATTCCCCTAAGTGTTTCATAAACTGTCAAAGTCAAACAATTTTATTTTATTGACTATGATGTTTTTTATTCATTATCAGTGTTACCAATACCTAGGTCTCTCTATATTGGCATTAATATTACTTGACATCATAAGAGCTCAACTATGGCTTCAGAATCGAATTTTTTCTGCCATTTCACAAATATGTGATAATTATCATAGCAAAATTATGGTAAAATCATCACATGTAAATCATTTGTTTCATAAAGTCGGAAAATTATTATTGGTCTAATTAAGCTGAGTTTTACTTGTATTCAATCAAATCAAAATAGGTCTGGTGTTTATTATGGTACCTCTCTAACTTCATACAGAGACAGTTTTTGGAAAATCCTGACCCCAAATTCTCAAAAATAATTTCAGTCCATACTTAATAATAGTGTGATATTTATAAATGTAAAAATATACAAATTCTAGCAGATCTCTTTTCTCTAGATTTGAAGACTCAAATTTTAATGGTTAACTGTGAACATTATTACTGATTAGATTAGCGGAATAATTCACATTTCTGAGACCAAGAAATCCTGTTTCTGTCCCTGTAATACAAATTCTTATATGAGATTTTTTTAGAAACATATCCAGGATCATTGAATCATGAGTTATTATTAAAGGTCCAACCTACAAATATAATAACAGTAATACCATACTAAATTAACTTTACTTTAAAGATTTGGGTTTTAAATATTAAGTACTAGAATTGTACAAAAATCACACAATTTTGTCAATAATACCTAAAACAAGGAATTTCTTATACTATTTTCTATATATGAGTATCAAAAAGAGACGAGTCATCATTTTAACTTTCAAATGCTGACAATTCTAGACACACATGTATTTGAAGGCTCAAATTTCGCTGGTGAGCTATGAACACTATTACTGAATAAGCTCAGCTAAAATATTCCTGTAACTAAGGTACGATTGGTCAAACAGATAGTGAACCTGTCCCTTTAATTTGGAATATTCAGAATGGCTTAATATTGTGAAATGACAGAAAAAAAAACAATTCTGAGGTCACTGAAGTCAGAGAATAATGATATTTGAAAAGCTCATTTCCATGACACGAACAAAAGGTGCTATCAGTGTCTGGCCTAATACACCTCTTGTTGGTGTCACAAAATTCCAACCTTGGAAAAAGCAGAATTTTGATTGGACAATTGTTCAAGACCCAAGAGGCCTGTCTTTATTAGAACCTAACTGAAGTGGTTAAGTTAAAAAAAAAATCAATAAAAACAAACAGAACAAATGTTGGGTCCAATTAGACTGATAGAATATCATATGCAGTAGACATCGTGGGTTTGTTTACATTTATACTGAAGAGAGCTACATACCACTGATTTCTTCTGTTCCTTCTGTCAAAATATCTTTGGTCAAATTTGTAAGTTGCCCAGTAAGGGACGAGATACTGCCTCCTAACCATGACATACTGGTTTTTGCTCGAACATCGATTTATTCAAATATGTTCAATGTTAAGTTTCTTATATTTCCCTCACGATCAAAAGTTATGGGACATTTTTAATGTTTTTCAAAATTTGCCAACTCGACGGAAGCCATGTTGTATGTTTTGATAAGGGGAATAACTCGCATTTGTTAAAGCCATCAGACTACAATTAATTCTTTATATCAAGTTTAGACACTGTTTGCCGGATGGGTTTTAAATCCCAACCACCAAAACCGCTAAAAATAACTTGAAGTAAAACTTGTGTTTCATATTCAAAATCATACATGATAAGCAGATGTTGATCACATTTGTCCGATTTGAAAGATGTACGAGTCTATTTCGGGCATATTTTGTTCGGTAGTGAAAAGTCTGCCGCATTGTATAGTGGGATTGCTGTTAGCAAGGTCACTCAAAGAAAAACTTGGAAAGAAAATAAATTTTGAGTGTTTGAGTGTGAAAGACATTCAAGATGTCTGGAAGTGAAGTATTAAGATACACAGATGTAAGTGTCGCCAGGGCCCAGCCTTCGATTTTAATGTCGGGACTACAACCTAGTAATTTTCTCCTTGAAGTTACTGATTTATTTCGGTGTCTGCGTTTTGCCAAACACTAACCTATCTTATTTTGGGGCACAAACATACAAAATCATATTTTATGTATGTTGAAGCTGGATTTACACAAACTTGTTCTTGTTTCTAAATCCATGCTGTGTATTGTAATTGATATGACAGATAGAAATGTAGCAAACTGCAAACAGGCCTTCTGGGCCTCATCAGTGCAGTGCATGATACTGGAGTTGAGGTTTAGCTAACACTTAGTTAAATTAAAATTGCAGAACCACAGACATCTTAATGAAAATTGGAATAATGCAAATTGATGCAATCAGTGTCAGAAATTTAGAAAAACCTCATTGCAATCCCTTTAATGAAGTTATTTCTATTTTATCATTTTAGGCAGAGATTAGAAAGGGAGGTCAGCTGTTGAAATATCCCACTACTAAGCTTCAAAAATTTATGCGCTTTCCTTTTGGTGTGCATTATAACAACTTTTCTTATTTCAAATCTTTGAGTATCTGTTGGGTTCTCTATGGCTATCTTTGGTACAAAATATCCAGACCATGTAAGTAGGCAAGCTCTAGAAGTGTGTTAATAGTTTTGCATGTAAAAAGCAGTTTTGGCAAATGAGGAATAGTTTGGCCGCAGTGGCTGCCTTTAGCTGGCCAGAAAGAGTGTGTATGAGCTGAAAATTAGTTTACAGATTTCAAGAAAGACCCCTCAAAGTATTTTCTAACACTCAGACTTTTTTAGTCTTCAAAAAGGATGTAGTCTGTGGTTGAATTTTGTGTTATGAAGATTTCAAACTCTCTTAAGGGAGATAACTAATGAACGACTTGTTTTCAACGGAATCAAAATTTAAATCCCACGCATTTATTCAGTTTATGATGGAGATTTTTAGCCGCTTTTGTTAAATTTCAAACTTAGAATTAATATTCAAAGTCATATTCATAATTACTGCACAATTAACAACCAATCAGATTCAATAGCCAATTTAGACTTGATCAACCAGAACCAGGGTTATGCTCCAGGCCATTTTATGTTGCAGTTCTGTGTAGACCAAGTGGCACTGGATGATTTGTAAATATGTATGTTTATTTTTCAGTGAATACTGATGCTAACAAAGAAAAGTTTGATAAGATTAACAACAAGCGATTACGTAAGTGAAATGAAATTTTAGCCCTGAATATCGTCAATCATGCCATGATACAATATGTATATCGCTACAAGGGTCACAATACAATACGTCTATTAACGTCTCCTATGTCCGTCCAACGTCAATTGCTCATAAATAAAATGAATGGAGTTTAACTCCTACTCTTCTGCACCTAACTGGGTTAATGAAGACTGGCTATGTACCAACTTAAACCTGCACAGCCTTTGTTCTTTTTTCCCATCCGACACTTTTTCAAAGGGCACAATTCTTGATGAATTTTTTTGGTTGTGTCTAATCACCCAAGGATGAACTCTAATGAAAATCAGAAAAATGGTTAATGAGTTATTGCCCTTGCTCTTGTAAACGTGTTCAATTTTTTGCTTGTAAACACTCTATAATAATATAACTACAATATATAACAATATTTTGTATTGGTGATTGTTACTGTTCTGCCAAATATTTTAATTCAAAAGGTGTACCTGTATAGTACCTAGCCTGGCAAGCTAACTTTCTATAATATGTTACTGTATATTTACTTTAAGT